TCTGCACACCTTCATCTTGAGAGGGAATAATCCGTGAATTAATAGAAATCGGAATCTCCATATTCATAATGATTTCCTCCTTGTTATTATGAGCTGCTCATCCTCACACGTGCCCTTTTATGTAGTCCCCAGTAATCTGCTGTTGTGAAGACTCTTTTATTCAGATATGGTTTCGTGATCACCCTGTTCTTTTTCCACTGCTCATCAGATCAGACCCTCTGTGTGTTTTTTTTTTTTTTTTTTTTTTTTTTTTTTTTTTTTTTGTTGTTTCCCCCCCCAGCTTGCATAGCTCGTGCTGGCATCAGGGGTTTAGGTGGAGGGCTGAGGATGCAGCAGCAGCCTGGTCGTCGTGGTGATTGTGATGGTGGTGGGGGATCTTGTTGGTATTCAGGTGCTGCGGCAGGCAGGCAGCTCCCAGACGAGGCAGTGCTGGCGCGCTGCTATTTTTACTCCTCCTGCTGCTTTTTTTAGACCCTCGGAATAGTGAGCAGGCAGCGGCAGGGGCTGCTCCACTGCTGAGGAGGGAGAGAGGGAGGGAGGGAGACAGAAAAGGCTGGGGGATGTCAATACCTCTGGACGTGATGTGCAGCACTAAGCACAGCAGAGCTGCGGTGCAAATGCGCCCCCGTCAGGGCGCTTTCAGAGCCAGCACCGTGGACCAGTTTTCTCAGAGGCGTAGGAATGGGGGAAACTGGGTTCAGAGCTGAGCTGCTTGAAATGAATGAGAGGCAGCGGTGCACACATCCCCTCTGCCAACACACGCATGCATACATTCATGGATTCACACATGCCTCTTCACTGGCCTCTCCCCAAATCTCCATTTTCTTTTTCATTGCACACATCACGCTCTTACGTGGTTGCCCCATCAACACACATTCACCCTTTGATGTCAGTGTGTGCTTGCGTCTTCTCTGAGCGTCAGAAGCGCTGCTGTCATTCACGTGCTTGCTTGCGTAGACCCTTTTTGTTACATTGTGTGTCACAGATGTAATGCGTTGCTCACGTGAAGGGAATTAAGTCCTGCTGGGAGCACTGGGGTGTGTATATATATTTATGTGTGTGTGTGTGTGTGTGTGTGTGTGTGTGTGACTGAACTGAACAATAGGGTTTTTGGACACTGTGTTCTGCTTGTACATCAGTGACTTATTTCCTCTCTGTTGTTTTTGCAGTGTCCAGTGTAGGTTCATCAATGAGGGGTTTTCAGTTACAGGAGGAATAACTGGCATCAAATTTCACTCTGTTGAATCTCAGGCGAGGCTGATAATGATTTGTTTTCTCCATGAATCCATAAATTATTTTAGGTTAATAATATTTTCTTTGTTTCACAAATGATGGACGGTGGCATATTGAAATGTAAAAAGGAAGGAAAAGAGGGGGGAAAAAGGAAATGTCTTAAGACTGGAGAGGAACTCTGTGTCCTCATCCCACTGTACTAGGCTACTCCCCCCCCAACACACACACACACTCTCTCCCTCCATTACACATATAAACAAACTTCACTCTGGCTCACTCTCTAGACAACGTTTATTGAGAAAATGGTACTATTATATAATGGGTGGGAGGAGTGTAGTCATTCATAAGTACAGCGCAAGGATTTAGGGGAGGGGGTGCTGTATGGGTAGGGGGCATTAGGCCCGGGGGGAAGGGGGGTGGAGGAGTAGGTTGGCTGCCGATTAAGTGGTGATAAAGTCATTTGAGTTCTGACGTTCTATTTATTTTTTATTTTTTATCCAGATGTTTGCTTTTCTCCAAGTGGATGGAGGGATTATTTGCCACTGGATCATGCTTCCCACTTTTCCATCCACTGCACAAAATCCCCTTTACATACTTCAGTTTTACACCCCTCATTTAATTCCATTACAGTGTTTCAGTATTTCAGTTCAGTTTTGGTTAAATTATTACTTCCGTTAAAACAAGTAAAACAAACATCTGTATTAACTGTTTTGAGAGGGCAGAAATGGAAATTATTTAAAAGTGACTTTTTTTTTTTTTTTTAATTGCCAGATTCTTGTTCCTGTTCTGATGTTACACTTTATTTTAACCACTTGGATTTCAAATGGTGAAACCGCATCAGAACAAGAATAATGGTCTTTAATGATGTTTTAGTAAAAGGATATTTAGCACCTCCTCTAATAGAAACAAGCAGAGTGGAGGTTTTCCACTTGAAACGCAGCAGATTTGACTGATAGAAAGATGAGGGCCAATCAGAGCCCTCACCTTTTTCGGGAAGAATTACCTGTTTCTAAAAGAGACGATGCTTTTTACAGTATTCTGAAAATGCATGGCATGTATAGTCTGAACACATGCACAGTCTGACACGCAGCACACGGTAAAGTACTGTATGTTCTTGGCTGTCAGGTTGAAGCTCAAAAGGTGATGCTGTACATGCATTATAAGCACATAATGCATAATTGCACACTATCCTCTTTTAGGTTAAAGGTCAGCGACACTCTACGTGCTTTTAGGTGCATAACACATTCTCATACGCAGGTGCAACTCTCTGCACCTGAAACTCAGCCACGCAGTGGAATGGCATGCGTCCCAGCTGCCTCTCTGTGGGATGCAATAGTTATCCAATGTGACTGGAATGTGGTCGGTGCAGTCGGCCCTCTTTATTTATTTTATAGTGTGTGTGTGTTCTGGTCGTCTGTTTCAGCTGACGTGGCCTGTCATTTCTTCCTCGACAGTGTCGTGGGCCTGGTGCGAGGAGAATCATAGAGGCTATACATTAGCAGTCAGGGCTTTTCTTCACTTGTTGGTACAAGATGTCTCAGAAGGCTCGCTTGCTGTTACCAACTAGCAACCTCGTAACTACAGTCGTGTTTGTTTGTTTTTCTTGTTTTTTTCATGATCTGCACGGTTTCATGCTCCTTCATTTATACTCCTTCAGCACTCATCAGATAAACTCCAAACCTGCATGATAGTTGTCTGAAAAGAGACATATTTCTTTACAGTGTCTGGCGAACTGACATTTCAGTAACATGAGGTTTTCAGCTGCCGACTATGATCCATGATGTGTAATATTTCCAGGGGTATTCTGGCGTCTATGTTATAGAGGAGTCTTATTCACTTCACAAGAAGCTGATTTTTATGTCGAGGTGGTTGCTGTCCCCCTTCCCGCCCCCCTCAGCCATTTTACTTTGCAGTGAATGTAGCCTCTCTGTGCCTCTGTTTGCCCCCACCTGCATCTGCAACCAGAGCCTGCTTTGGTACAGCCCGCGCCCATTGAGGCTTTTCTGCCATGGAGCGTTTCATTCTTAACACGGGGGGTTTAAAAATAACCAGGGATTCTGCTCTCTTTTCACTTTTGACTTTGTGCTACTCTCTCTCACTCTCACTCCTCTTCTCTCATTCACTCATTTGTTCTTCTCTCCCCCACCCCTCCTCCTCCTCCTCCCCATCTCCCCCGCTCCTCCACTGCCATCTCTATTCTGTCTCTTTCTCCTTCACTCATTCGTTCTCTTGCTTTGCTCCAGTTCTATTTTTAGCCACCTCCAGGATCCCTCCTCAGCCCCCCCCTCCGTCTCCCCACCACCACCATCACCACCCTCCCTCCCTACCCCACTTCACCCTCCTTTCTCCTGCTCCATGTTCGTCATCGCTCCCTCCTCTCTGCATCCCCTCTCTCATCTTGTCTTTTTCCTGCTCTCCAGCTCTTTGCCAGAGAATGTCCTCTACCTCCATTAATCTTTCATCAAGCCTTGCTAATAATATATTCATGATGCACAACTATGTGTGTGCGTGTATATTCATGTGTACACCCAATCCCTACCTCACCACCACCACTTTGTCCTGTCTGTTTTTCCACCCCCCCCTCCCAATCACCCGTCAGTCAAGCAGGGGCAGGGGTTGATGGGCAGTGAAGGTTTAAAAATAGCCCTGCTTGCTTGACAAGGTGAGGAGAACTCTGAACACAAGAAGAACATCAGCTCCCCTCTCCGTCTTCGTCCTCCTCGCGCTTCGGCCTCTTTACCGTCTTTTGTTGTGCTTCTGTGAAATCTTTCCTCTTGCTTTCACCAAACCGCTCTGGCTCTGGTTTTGCCACCGTTTACGTTTCCTCCACCTTTTTCGTCTAAACTACAGATATACACTTGATTGAACCATTGCCAGTCAGATTTGTCCGTACGCTAAACTGATAAAGGATTCAATGCTGTGTTCGTGTGCAAGAAACCCTAATCGTGATCTTGAAAATCAGCTGCTCTCAGTGAAGTATCAGGGGGTGTTGAAGGCTTTGTGAATCCTATACTGTCTCCTATCTCTGTTCTGCTTTAATCTATATCATCTTATCTCCACCTCTTTACAATCTCCGTCCCCTCTGTTGTCTTTGCAGCTCAGTCTTTGTGATTAAACTCCTATCTATACCATCTCAGGGTTTATTATATGCATCTCCACTCCAAAATGAAACTGTGCATCTCATACAAAAGAAAACATCATCGTAGAGCTTAGAGAGAGAGAGAGAGAGAGAGGCTTTCCCAAATAGCAGGACAATAGTGTAGTGGGGTGTGTCCGCCAACGGATTTGCTTCCTGTGAACTGTCCTGTCTGTCACCCATAAAGTCCTCCAGGTTTAGCTTCATATTGGTGCGCTGAGCCATTATGATGACAACTGGAAGTGGTCAAACCTGAAGTGAAGGTGTGTCGTAAGAATCTGAACAAAGAGGATCACATTTGTGTGTGTGTGTGTGTGTGTGCTTTTTATGTGTGACTGTCACATGATGCATGTAGTGCAGAGTAATGAGTCAGTCTACAATGACTAAGTATGTGACTAAGGTCTTTTGACAGGGTTAAAATAGGTAAACTGAGATCAAACAAAGTGAAACCATAGTTTCAATCAGATCATTAATCCTCAGGGAATATGAACCATCTTTTCACTTTTGGAGACTTCTCTGGAGAGCATCTCCTCCCTTATTAGGTGAACAGAAGTTGACTTGACCCCTGCTCTTCTACAGAGTATAGTGGACAACCTATCCTGACCTCTTTTTCTACTTTCTGTCTCTCCAGTTGTGACGGGAGCCACGGATGGAATCGGGAAATCCTATGCGGAGGAGGTGAGGCTTCTGGACCCTTATTTATTTCATTTCTTTCACAGGAAAGCTGTGACTCATATACACACACACACACACACACACACACACACACACACACACACACACACACACACACACACACGCATACACACATCGTGTTCACTCATAGGCCACGGTAGGAGAGAGCTCTTACAGGCCTATTAACGTGGAAGAGAGTCCTCACACGCACATGCATGCACACTTCAACCAGAGCTCATAGGAAGGTAACAAGCACACGTTGAATAGGGGCTACCCTGCCACGTGTTTGGCCCATACTAGTGATGTAGGGCCTTTGACTCATACTGTTGCTGTGGGGCTAGCCGCCCGTCACACAACGGCAGGCCACCATTTTACCCAGTGTGTTTATGCCATGCAGGGTTTTCAGGCATGTTAATATTTATGCAGCGACTCACTAGTTCTCACATGGAGCATGATCAGTCCTCCTCTGTGCCTTTAATAATCTGCAAGGTGCATTTGCTCACTTTTCCCTGCAGCATGCCCCGCAAGATCAACCTAGCTTAGCTTAGCACCTCACGTAGAAACAAGAAGGGGAAAGCACCTGTTTGGAATAGGGTGAAAATTCAGACTTGCCACCATCACAAGTCAAGCCTGAAGTTCTCAAAAGTCTCTTGTTTGCTCTCTTCTGGAAGCATGTGTCCAACAAAGTGAGCACAACAAGGATGTTTACACATGCAAATACACACAGGTGATTGAGCGAAGTCCGCTGGATACAGTTTGGATGATATATCGCCAATGCTCTGCCGGTCATCTCATCCAGAGTTGAAGCATACAAACTTAACTCTCTCACTTCAAAAGTTGGATCTTGTTTTCTGTCTCATCATTTTCATATCATCATATATGTAATTTCTGGGCACTGAAGTTCAAAATCTTGTCTGTCAACACTGTATATGATTCTGCCTTCAATATATGAAAAGAAATCATCTTGTCAAACTTGTGCGACCTGTTGCTAAGCATTTCTTTTCCTTTCTAGCTTGCTCGTCGTGGATTTGCCATGATGTTGATCAGTCGCTCCCAGGACAAGCTGGAGTACGTGGCAAAGTCACTTGGTAAGTGTGTAGAAAAGTGTGTGTGTTTGTTTATCTCCACAACATCATGGAAACCTGTTCGGGTTGAGCGCACAGTGAATGGGCTGATGAGGATGTGTGTATGGGCAGGCAGTGACGTGCAACCTCTCATCCCATCGGCTACAGGGTTTCCCAGGCCTTGACAGTGGGGCATATTCTCAACATAAGGAGTTAAAATATAGTCAATAAAGAAGAAAACTGTTTTGGAGACTTGTACAGACTTATACATGTTAGCATAAGTTTGTCCCAGATGTGTTACTCTGTACAAAGTGGATGCACTAACTTCCATTTTCAAAAACATCATTTTGTGAGTAGTTTCACTGTTCAGATTTATCCTGCAAATCCCATTTTTCACGCCCTTTTGCATCCTGCTAAGTCACGCCTTTGCTCTGTTTAAATGCGAGTGAATTGGAAAACATGCAGCCAACAAAGCAGGCTGTTTTTTTTTTTTGTTTTTTTTTTACTTCCTCACTAATGGTATGAAGAAGGAGATATTAAATATCTGGCCTGATTGAGGAAGCTCTTGGACCAGCCTGTTCCTCTTTGTTACATTTGTTAGACACAGATCAGGCTTTTTCCTCATTCTACTCCACACAGAACAGAAGCCACAAAATAGTAAACCAGTGTCCGTATGAAAGGAGAAACTTTTTTTCCTCCTCCTTGCTGGCCTGTCTCCAGATCTGAACAGAGACTGAATGGTGAGTGCCCCCCCCCCCCCTTGTTCAAATAGTGCCCTCTCCCCCGGCTCACTCTCTTTCCATCTGTCTCTGACGTCTCCCACAGCGCAATTTCCCCTGTCGTGCTTCAAGTCCACAGAGGGGGCTGATGGGTAGTCACGAGCGGGGTGCGGCGTGCCAAACTCTGGCACTCCTCTCTCACGATTAGTTTGACAAAACCACCCTCCTTCGTGTGTAACTGGGCAACCCACCCTGACCCACCTATAATTTCATTGTTGTAAATGTTTCTCCTCTCTCTTACGCGGCCATCTCATTTGACTCTTGAACGCACCTACTTGGCAACCCCAAATTACTGCTCCAATTTGGCAACCCGAGCCTTCATATTTCTGCTTCCTTGCCGCCACGTCTGAAGCTGCTTTTATCATTTTCTTTTGACGTGCACTAACAGTGGTTGTGATGACTTAACTGCATATAGATTCCAGGGGTGGTCCAACCCATAACTCCCTCTTTTTTTATTTTACTCACCCCACCTCACATCCCCTCTTAGCCCCCCCCCCTCCTTGTTTCCCCCTCGTCTTAACTCTGACTGAACACACACTGACACACTACTGGTCTGTACCGAGGCACATCCCAGGAATTTTCCTCCTATAACTCCCTCCGCCACCTATCAGCTAAACGAGTCTTTGGACAATAAATTCTAATTGCAGCAGGCGCGTCAAACATGACGACGGAGGGAGGGAGGGAGGGAGGGAGGGGAGACAGTTGCTCGGCTGGTTTGTTGGTATGCAGTGCCCTCTTCAGTTCGAGCCTGACAGTGACCGGTTTCATGCTGCTTTCATTTGAATGGATCCAGGGTTTTGAAACAGGGGATTGCTCTGTTGTAACGAGCTTTTGCACGATGTGCTGGCCGACTTGTGACACATTGAATGCATGGTATGGGTGTGTGCTGGGGTGTGATGCCATGATCTTTTAAGGAAGATGAGTGATCTTAAATGTGCAACCTTCTAATCTTTGATCTTCTGCGGTCAACCATACAATGTCACTTTCTTTTCCACAGTTTAAAACACTTGCCACGCACAGATATGATTGCAAACCTATAATTAATGGACGCTTGTTTCTCTTTTCACAGAGGAGCAGTTTAAAGTAGAGACTAGGACCATTGCGGTTGACTTTGGCAAGACGGACATCTACCCCAAGATCGAGGCGGGGCTGGCCGGTTTAGAGATCGGTGTTCTTGGTAAGAGCTGATTGTTTCTTTCTTCTAAACCTCTGATGGCAGGACAGTGTTCATCCCTGCAGTCAGTCCAGTGTGGTAAACTGTTGTATTGCACAGAGACAGAAATGATGAAGCCCTATCCGTACACGCTACACATCACTGAAGGCTGAACATTTGACATTCACTTGCAATGTGTATTCAGTTAGTGTGAGATGGTGATGAGACACTTAGAGTCAGGGCCCATCTTTGTTTCACTGCCTTTTGGATTTCACAAACACCAGCCATCGCTTGTCTTGTCCAGGTCGTGCAACACTTCTTAAAGTCATTTGATCCATTTTAAACTCGCTCATTTACATACTTAAGGTGACATCTTTGTAGTTTCACTGTGAAAAGTTGGCACTATGCAAATTTTTCTTCTACTTTCTTGAGACATGAAGCAGAGAAGAAGGGAGGGGGGGGGGGGTCAGCCTTGCACTTAACAAGCTTTTAAGACTTTTCAGAAAAACTAAATTCCAGCTGTTTGTGTAGATGTTTCGACTTGTCGACTCTAGAGTTCATGTTGTACTTTTTGGTTGAACATTTAAGGAGCTCTTTGTCCTTTTTTTTTTTTAACCAATTGTGCTCTACTGGTTGTAAGGTGTGGCTGTGTGTAGTGTGGAGTAGACGTCTGTCTGTGTCGTGTTTGCTTATGCTGCCACCTTATGGTAGAAACTTCAGCTAGTTTGAGTTATCCAGCACCAGGTTATTTTATGAAAACGGTAGAATAATCTTCTTTTTTGTCTTTAACAGTCAACAATGTTGGTGTGTCTTATCCCTACCCTGAGTACTACCTCCACATTCCTGATCTGGACAATGTGAGTTTTTACTTCTCGTTATTTCATCTTCATTTGTGGATGGAAATTCTCTTTTGCTGCTAGTTTTCTGTTATTAAAAGAGCACAACTTAGAAATAAGTGAAAAAGCAAATGAAATTGTCATTTTCAAAAAAAGCTTTTCTTTCTTTTATGCTCCTTATTTTACCGCTATCTGCTGCCTTCCTGTATCCACCTCTGTATGAACACATGACCTTAACATGTGAGTGTTTAGCTGACTGGCACTTTCTGTGTTGCAGTTCATCACAAATATGATCAACGTCAACATGACCTCAGTGTGCCAGGTGAGTCTGACTCTGTACTGAAGGACTTTTCCTCCTCGGAGAGGCAGATGCATTTAGCCCAGTGATTGCAACCGACATGTTTACATCACGTCCCAAGTGTTTGTTTAAACTTGATCCATGGGTTTTACTTTCCTCCTCACTTTTCCCCCTTTTTATTTTTTGTTCTTCTCCTCCCTCTTCTTTTTCCTCCTCCTCTTCTGCTGTTTCTACCATGGTACCTGCAGTGTCTCAGTTGTTCCCAAAGCAACGGTGGACTACACCAACGCTGTCTGTACTCGCCACCCACGCAACTCTCTCTCTCTCTCTCTCTCTCTCTCTCTCTCTCTCTCTCTCTCTCTCTCTCTCTCTCTCTGTCGGTCTCTGTCTCTCTCTCTCTCGCCGTCTCTTTCTCTCTCTCCCTCCTACTTTTAGTTTTTTTTTTTTTTTTTTACTTATTCATTTATTTTATAAAACTCTTTCCCTTCTTCCCTAGTCCCCTCATTCTCCTTCATGAGTTTTGTCATTGTTTTTGTGTGGTGGTTGATGTTAACCAAGCTTGTGTTGTTGTTGTTCTTTTAGATGACCCGTCTGGTGCTGCCCAGAATGGCTGAGAGGTGAGTTAAACGATAGGCTTCCATGTTTTGCGACATGACTGCAGTCAAATATCAGTGTCGTGAATAAGGGACTGTGTCTCAGAGCTGCACGAGGAATCTCAAAATTAAACAAAAACCTCTTCTTTGTGTTTTTGAAGAGTGATGTTTGGGAGACCACTGTTCATAAACATGACTCTTTTATCAAGAAGGGGCACAAGAAATCCTCCCCAAGCCCTTTCCATCACTGCATCTCTCTTTCCCTCTCCTCCTTTGTTCGCAATGCTGACAAGCTTTCAATTCACACAAAGTGCTCTTCCCACCCGATTGGCTGCTCTGTTCCCATGTGACTCGTGCTGGCCAATAGCAGCGCAGGCACATTTGGTGCCGTGTGAGGCTGGAGCGTCGCTCCACTACATCACTGCAGCAACAGGCTGCCATGGCAACGCACACGGCCACTACCACACTGTTTTAGTGTGTGTGTGTGTGTGTGTGTGTGGAACATGACTTTGTGTGTATTTGGCAGTGTGCTGAATGTGTATAGACACTGGGTTCCCACAGACATGGGAAACCAGTGAAAGTTTGTCAATCTGAAGGAAAAAATTAAGCTTTAAAAACACGTCTGAAAATACATATTTGCACAGTTCTGGGATCAGTGCTTCACATGTTGAGGAAAGCCCTGTGGTTATAGATTTGTGTTACGGCAGCAGCACTGAAATTTAATTCATTCAAAACTTGTTCCTGATACAATCATGAATGTTGTCTTTGCATCACAGACTATAAAGCAAAGTTCTTGTCGTAAATCTACCCTGTCGTGTTTTTCTCAGGTCCAAAGGTGTTATCCTGAACATCTCCTCTGCCAGCGGCATGTACCCCGTCCCTCTGCTCACAGTCTACTCTGCCACAAAGGTATGTGCCACATCTGGACTTTTGAATAATATTGGTTTTATCTGCTTGTTTCTTCTGGCTGGTGATAACTTTTTACAGACTGATATGTTAATTCTGACTCTTTCCTCCCCCTCCTCTGTGTGCAGGCCTTTGTGGATTTCTTCTCTCGTGGCCTTCAGGAGGAGTACAGGCGTCAGGGCATCATCATTCAGGTGAGTTTGAGGCTTGTCTGGTGGAGTCATTGGAGGTTTTGAGTGCAAAACTTTCCTTTAGTTGTTATGAGCTGTGAGGACACTGAGGAGGCAAAACAGTGTAGCGTTTTGTTTTGGTACAAATTTTATTTTCTATTTGAAATGTTGAGTCCTTACATTGTGTAAAGCATCCTCTACACCCCACCTTTTGTAAGGTTTAGTGCATGTGATCCACGCACCGTTTGGACTGTGCCGGCTGGGTCGGGCGCTGTAGACCAAACTTTCAATGTGGCTTTAAATTGAAGATTATTAAAAAAAGAGAAAATGAGTGGAAGAGATGATGATGTATTAAAATCTTTGAAGATATATGAAGGATATGAAATCTGCCCCTTTTGATGCTTTTGAATTCTACTCAAAAGAAGTTTTTACAAAAAAAAAAAAAATAAAAAAAATCGAACCCATTGCTCTCAGCCAATCAATGGAATAAATGCATATTCATGAATGATGTGTCTGATAGGCCATTTTTATCCCTTTTTTTTTTTTTTCAGCAGAGGCAGTTTAAAAAAATATGATGTTCCACATAAGGCTTGTTTGTTCTGTTTTTAGTGCCCTCTAGTATTCATTCATGTGCCACCTTGTGGTTGGACTGGGTACAACAGTTTCACCTCAGCAAACCTCAGTGTGTTTTCACCTGATAACCCCAGTCACCAGAGCAGCTCACAGCAAAGACTTCATGTATTTTAGTATGAAGTGCATCTTAACAGCGGCAGTGGTCAGTCTCTCAGGAGGACACATTATCTGATGTCGTTTAAATGCTCATCATACAGCTTTTAATGTCTGTGCTGCAAATCTGTATTTCTTTATATCTTTTATACTAACCTGAGGAAGAACAAGGAGTTATGGGTTTTTAATTTTTTAGATGTTCTTCTTTTGTTCAAAGTTCATTTCACACGTTTCTTCTTTGTTTTCTGCAGAGTGTGCTGCCCTTCTTTGTGGCCACTAAGATGACTCGTATCAGGAAGCCCACGCTGGACAAGCCGACCCCAGAGCGCTACGTGGCAGCTGAGCTCACCACTGTGGGTCTGCAGAGTCAGACCAATGGCTACTTCCCCCACGCTGTCATGGTAAGAAGTGGAAATACTGAAAAAATATGGAACTATGTGGGAATACAACAAGTAAACTTAAATGTTGTTCTTAGTTATGGTGTTTGGGAATTTAACGCTGGACTATGTGGCACAGTAATTGATTTTAATGCCCCTATTTTGGACTTTTAATGAAATCAGTTGCAATATAATATCCCGGCTTTATGTGTTGTCTGAGTCAGTTTGAGTTAACTTTCTTTTTTCTTTTTTTAAAGTATGAATTGCACATTTTCTGCTTAGTATTTTAGGTGGTACACAATAAATATAAACGATATGAAACTTTTTCAATATGTCTTGGAAAAGTTATTTAGCCAAATCATTTATTTTTATATTTTCATGTAAGGATTAAAGCCTGAATATTAAAGTTTAAAATGATTATAAACCCATGCACTTTTTTTTGTTTTTGTTTTGCAGGGTTGGGTGACCACCAAGCTGGTGCCGAGCAGCATTGTCATCTTCCTGGGAGCCCGTATGAACCGCCTGCAGCGTACCGGGTACCTGCACAGGAGGAAGCTGCGGGAGCAGAAAAACGGAGCGAGTTTGAAGAGCGAATAGGAATTCGGCAGACGGTTCTGCGGGCAGCCTCATGCTGTTCTGACCCAGTGCAGTGTTTAGAGAAGGGAGATGGTGTTTTTGATTGATCCTCCAGGGTTGCCTGAGATTTCAACTTTGTGCCTTAAGTAAAGTTTCACATCAGAGGGTGTGTATGACTCTGGGTTTAAAAACAGCAATGTGCCCTGATGTGATTTGTCTGGAGAGAAACAGCCAAACAAGGAAGGAGCTGAAATGATGAAAAAAAAAAAAAAAAAATGCTGCTCTTGGCAAAGGACACTAATATTTTTGTCACTGACACTGATGGTGGAATTTATGCAGCTGAAAAATGAGTGATTTGTTAACCCTGCTGTTGTAAGCAGTGGAAATGGTGGTGGGCATTTTTTTATATATACATGTATATTTATTATGTTTGTGTGAACATACAAGCCAAACTCCTCCAAAGGAACTTTAGTCCTGTTTACAACTCATTGAGCCATTTAAAGATGACAACTTCTGCTGTCTTTCATGTCAATTTATTTGCATCACTGAGCTGTAATCATCAACCACTGCCTCTGTCTTCCTTTTTTTTTTTTTTTTCTCTATGATATTGTGTGATTACAGTATATTTAAATATTTGTGGTGGGTTTTTGTTGCACCAGTATCTAAACCAAAGCATAGTTATCTTATTAAACCCAAAGTGCCTTTCTATGTCATTAATGCTGCAAACGGTCAAATTCAATGAGCAGGTATTGAGAAGTGATGATGTACTGTTAAAGGATGTAATTCAACTGATGTGAAACTATGTGAACTATAGTTGCTCAATTTTCTGCCTTGTTTTATTAAAATGTAAACCCACCAAAGTTTCTCACAGGCAAGAACAAGTAAGTGAACCATTTGGAATTGCCTGCGTTTATGTATAAATTTGGTCTGATCTTCATTTAAGTTACAGTTGTGACCAAACAGTCTATTTTAACTAATAAAACAAATCATTGTATTGTTCTTGTCTATATTGAAAACATCAAATATTCACAGTGTAGGTTGGAAAATGTGTGCAAACCCATCGGCTAATGACATCAACAGAAGCTAATTGGAGTCGAGAGGTAGTATACGTCAATGACACCAGATCGGAGGTGTGGATTAAAGCTCCTTTTGAGTTATAAAAAAATAAAAAAACTCAAACATTTAGAGTTTGTTTATTTTCATAAATTGGGAAGGATTACAAAGTGATTTCAAATATTCATCAGTCCACAGCCAAACAAACATGTCTACCAGTAGAGTTGATTCAGTACTGTGGCTACTCTCCATAGAAGTGAGGGTCCAGCTAAGATGACTCCAAAGGTTCAACACAGAACACTCTGAGACGAAAGCTTATAGGACTCATTGGAGCTGGTTAACATCTGCATCCGTGAGTTGACCATCATGCAAATCATGGTGCATGGCTGCACCTGTTGGAGTGGCCCAGTCAGAGCCCAGACCTTAACCCAGTAGAGATGCTGTGGAGTGACCTGCATCTCTTTACAGTTGATCTACAATTGAATACCACATATGACTTGGTTTGACCTGTGACTCAACTCAACAGCTTTGTGAATCCTTTTCCTTTGTAAACAGTCTTTTAATATGCTTGGAAATTGAAATTTGAATTTCTACATGTAAAATGACTAATTACCCTGCTGATGGCAATTTATATTTTATACTGTTTGTTAATAAAAGCTTTGGCATTAAGCATAGGGTTTTGTCTTGTTTTTTTTTTTTACAAATAGATGGATCAAATTCCAGCTTTAAAGACTTTTGTGCACAAGCCTGAAAATAATGTACCCAAAATAAAAAGGGTACTGTTCTTCAACCCTTTAGATTTCAGTTCTGTCTCCTTTGAGAGGCAACTCTTTAATTTTTACAACCTAAAAGTTAGAATGAATAGAAGAGATACTGAACTTTTCAGAATAAAATGGGAAAGTAGTAGTGCCTTTGGAACCATGGCCATAAGTCTGAATCACTTCTGTGTCAACAGCTGTGATATAGGGATGATCCTCCTGATGCTTTGCACAGATGGAATCAGGAGACTTAGAGCTTTCAAACAATGTAGGCTATAATTTGTCAAGGTAGTGTCAAGACTGAGTCCGGTACAGACCAAAACACACTTAAAGTAGCAAGGCCAAAGCCTCCCACGGGTGCGACGGTGTATTTTAAAAGGATAAACACAATTAGATTCAGACAGTAGTGGAAAGAAGTACCCAGAACTTTTACGTCAGTAAAATTAGCAATAACACATTGCAAAAATACTGTTACTGTGCATGTCAAACTTCGAGTAAAAGTATACAATATCAGTAAAATGAGAAAACGATACTCATTATGCAGACTGTCCCCTGTTAGACTGTAAGTCATATTTCATGAACTGATCCAAAGTGGTGAATGGAAAATCTTAATGCTACAGCAAACTGACCTGTAACTACAGCTGTCAGTTTATCATAAATCCAGTATTTCACCTTGAAATGTTATTGTGTAAAAGCGTAAAGGAGGTTAAATAACAAATGTACAAATGTGTAGTTGCTTTACACCAGAATGGGACGGAACCATAGTTTCAAATGAAATTACGAGTAGGAATTGTTTTTGTGTAACACAAACGCTATGGCCGTCAAACAGCAGGCATCCCACATTATGTGAACTTGTCTCTTCTCTGAGAGCTGTATTTTTGTGTTTCCGCTGCCACTTAGGTGAGTAATTTAAAGATTTGGGTCAACATTAGTGAACTGGGTGTTTGTTCTAAATTCTGACCTTTACAGAGTGTTACTAACTTTAGGTAGGTTCAGCTAACTTAGCACAGGGACGAGCTAGCATCTTAACCATGGTTTGTCTCAGTCAGATTTCTCCAACTGAAATACTCCGTGACTGATAGTTTCTGAAATTATCCGATTAAAGAATCGACAAATTTCTTATTTCTTAATTAGCAAAAAGTGAGTGTGGACATAAAAAGAGTAGGATGATGAAAAGGCTAGTTCTTAGCATTCAAAAGGGTCATGTAGATGAGCAGTTCTCGGGTAGGTTGATGCTACAGAGCACACATAGACTACAGCATAAATGAAAATGCCACTAGAAACACATACAGCACATATATAACAGCAACAGATATCACAAAGGACTACAAAGACTATAGCATTACGAGCAAATACTAAAGGCACACTGCACACAAAAGAGTACACGAATACTAAAGGCCCTTGGCACACACAGACATACACAGAAAGAAAAAAAATAGAACAGGAGATGTACAAATGTTTGACTCTCTCAGTTGTAGATGCCAATTCCCTCAGTGTTACCGCTAACTTTACTGCTGGGCCGGGGAGGGAAGACAGACGTGTTGCTTCCACACATGGTGTAACTTTGTCCTTATAATCAACAGGAAATAGTTAAAAATAAAAGATGGATTCAAATTTATGGGTTATAATCACCAGAAAAAAAGAAAATCCCACATTCCCTCTGGAAGCATTTGTGTACATAAATATTAAGTGTCTCTTGGTTTCTTAGGAGAAATGTTGCACAAGTGATCATCAGTGTTTCTGTTGGCCTGAGAGCAGTTTGCGTCCATGTTGATGAAAAGTTTCTTCATGTTTCGCACCCAGCAGATGTGATGTGATGTCAGATAAGCGTCAGCGTGCCAGAGTCCAGGGCTCCTGGGCCAAACAGCTGCCAAAACACACAGGACCAACAGGTCATTTGTTTAAACTGTTGTATTGGTAGAATGTGACTCCTCACTAAAATAGATTTTTATTTATACATTTACTTATTTATAGCCATGATGCTGCTATAACATTTATAACATTTCTTTAATTTATAACATTTGCATATAACAGCTTCTTATTTATGTTATTCAAAACAGGTGCAGTTCCAAACAACCATCAACCCACAAATGTCAACCCAGCTCCTAGTTCCTGGGGATTTGGGCCACAGAAGACATCTAAGACATTTGAGTTTCATCAGCCCTCTAAGGTAAACAGTTAACAGATAAAAAAAAAAAAGGAGTAATCACTGAATTTGGGGAAAATTGGTCTTTCACAATGTGTTATATATATTTTAATGACGTGCTCCCTCCCTCTGTTTCTTGTCTTTATTTCATTACAGCCAATCAGAGATGTTCCACCAGAGAAGGATATAGAGTGAGTTGCATATTTCTGTATGTGTTGGATAGAGCTCCTCATGGTTTTGTTTCCTGTAACATTGCTTTTAAATTCATTTCTGTTGTTTATAGTGTGATATCTTGGCTGGTAAATTCAATGTGTACTGTGCACAGAATGACTAACACATCATTTTGCTCCGGACAGACATGCGGGTGATTTTGAGATCAGCCATGGACCGTCAGGAGTGTCCAGGTGAGAACAGTCTAAAAGTGAGGGAGCCTTACTGAGAGGAAAGTAAAGGTGAAACAACAAATTAACCAAATGGAAAAGAGGAGAATGAAAGGGATGGGACAGGACCAAACAAGTGCATTTATAGCTGATGACAAATCTGTGTTAGAGTTTAAAATCCACTAGATGGCAGTAATCCAACAAGTAATATCTTGTATAGCTCTTATTTAATATTATGCCTCCTACCCCACCTGTGGTATGACCCATGTTTTTAATAGATCCTGAATATGCAGTAGTATGTGCTGCACATATGGCAAACTGGTTTTTAAAATGACAACCAGAATTTCAATTTACTTTTAAGGCATTTAGATGATCCTTTTGTTAAGACTAGAATACCACATTCAAGCAACAGAAATCTTACAGTCAATATTCTGTGCCTGGTCATGTGTGATTCTGTGACTGTGGTCCTGGATTCATCCTGTACAAGAGAAGTTCTGTGGAACAAAGTAAAATAAGAGAAAAAAATGAACTGAAAAAGATTGATTGTTTCTAAATTCAGATCCATCTGTGGTAGCCACCGTCTGTGACCAAGTGTCCTTGAACAAGGAGAAAATCACAGTCTCTTGCTGCATTGCTCTTTTGCCAGTCTTTACAGAAGTGAAACCAACCACTCTGTACTGCTACTACCTGTTATTCCAGTCCTATTTGCAACCCTACAAGCCTCAGATCATGTGCAACAGTTAATCACAAAGGGACACTAACACCAACCATCTGCTAAGTCCTGGTAAATGTTAGTTTTTGATTGTTATTTATGCCAATTTAATCAAACACTCGGTGGATAAACAACCAGCATGTATGCTGTTGTCATACTGAAAGGTGAAGCTGAAGTTTGGAATCCAGTATTATTGGTTCTTTGACTGATCAAATAAAAGCTTAGTTTCCTGCTCGTGTATTCTTGACCACCGTTTTGGGGTAATTTTATGCCTTCATCAGACAGGTGACAGGAAGAGGTCCATGTCTAGACTTGAACCAGGGATTTATGATTGACACCCTTAAGCCACTAGGATGCCCCAATTTGCACTATCCTGTACAAACACTAATTATAAGACCTACATGCTGTATATGTCCATGTTACTTTTATGGATACTTAGTTGGTGTCTGTGTGTATGTTTTGTCTTCCATCTGTCCAGACTGCGGCTGCTGCCTGGGTTTCTCCCCCCGGAGGAGGCTGACTGGATGTTCAGTAAGCTGTTAGCAGAGCTTCCCTGGTCCCAGAAGACCAACTACAGACAGGGTGCGTACCAGAGGCTTAAGAACAAGCAGCATGAAAGGGGTGAAATGTGAACCTGTGACTGGAAGCTGAAGGATATCTGAATTTGCATAAAAATACCCAGTTCCGTTCCATTAGCTGTACCACTTATCCTTCGAGGGCCACAGGGCATAAAAATATACACAGTGGTACTTGTCTGGTGCACATGCCACATTTCTTTTTAATCCAAGTACAGTATGTCTTGAGAAGATTAGACCAATGTAACAAAAGGCAAAAACTGCAGCCACTCTGTCCTTGCACGTGGGTAAGTTGTGCAAAGGCTTCGTTTTGCAAAAACAGTTGGCAAAGAACAGCTCACACATTGTACCCGGACAGACTAGATACAGTGACACTGTTGAGATGCAGCCCCACTGCCACAGAATCAGCCTTTCTCTCAGCTGGCTCTCGTCCATCTGTGTGTTATTGTGTGATATCTCTGTTTGTAGCGCACAAACAGCGTGACGAAGACTGGGTGATTTCTAAACACTGACCACACAGACAAGTTGTGCAATCCTCTATCCATCCCTCCTCAGACTTTGTCAACAAAATCCATGTGGCGTTTGGGTTAAAGAGGAAGTAGTGGAAAACAGATGTTAACCCTTCACCGGTCACTCCTCCTGCATCTTCTGTCATTTATCCTGCCTTGTTTTTAAAACTCGCTTGACTCAGTTTTTCCAACCATTGCTCAGGACTCTAATCTGGGCCCTGTGAGTGGGTTAAGGTTTTTCTTAATCTTTCCCCCTGATAGTATCTTTTCATGGAAAGAGTAAAGCTTTTGAGAGTTGATAAATGACCACACATATTTATAAATATTACCTCAAGAGGCCCTGAGTAATTTAGTGCCATAAAAAGTGATGGCTGCTCGAGCTGTTTGTTTTGGTTCCACCATGTTCTCGTACCAGAGGGCTGGCCAAATTCACTAATGCCCCATAATTGATTCTTGGAACGATCGGTTTGTTTCTGATGAAAGAGAGATACACCAAGATCGACAGAGGAAGATTAGATTTAGATGTTTACCTTACCCTCTGCAAGAAATAGATTGTAGTGACGAGGCAGATTATTATTTTACATGTGTGTGTTAACATTTGAAAGGAATACAGCCAAACTGTGTCAGCCTTCTGCCTTACTTATAGTTGTCATTTAGCAGAAAAGAGGTAGCTATGAAAGCAGACTCAATCCATTCTCTTTTGAAGTCCAAATTGCCTTGACCCAGTTACTAATGCAATATAGAGATGGATCTGTGCACTTTTGTTCTATCATGAAAACTGTCCACAGCCACTGTTCTCTTTGAAGGAAAAAATTAACAGTGTATTTGAAGCCTGCAGGGGTTGAGTGTTTGATACTCAAAAAATGTATTTTAGGTGGGGTATCACTTCAAAAGGCTGCAACATGCATAGCCACTTTAAAAAAAACAAAAAAAAGCAGTCATCAGTCATTAAATCACCACCATATTCATTTTGAGACATCAGTACTGTCGCTGAATATCATCATAGATTTTGACTGAAATGCATCTGTAGCCTTGAGTATATAAATGTGTCATGTACTGAAAGTTAGTGTTGGCTGCTTGGTCATTTTTGTTTATATCGTTTTTTCTAATCAAAACCAGAAAAAGTTTGACTTTCGAACTTTGGATTACGACTTATTTCATTTGGTTAAAGTTATTTATTTAACTCTGATGCACTGAATAGTTTGCCACAGTTTTCTTTAAATGGGGAAAAAAATTAAAACATATTTATGATTCCCAAACGAAGGTATTGAAAAAGGTGTTGTGTGTTCGCTGAAACTCTCTGTGTGTGTGTGTGTGTGTGTGTGTGTGTGTGTGTGTGTGTGTGTGTGTGTGTGTGTGTGTGTGTGTGTGTTGGTCCAGGGGAGGCATATGAGGAGCCCAGGCTAACCTGCTGGTATGGGGAGTTGCCTTATACCTACGCTCGCTCCACCATGGCTGCTAACTCACAGGTTAGGTAAACATCATTATATCTGCAACAAGACTCAAAGGAGAAATGTGGTCACACAGCAGCCTCCACACATTTATTATACAGTAATATAAGTATCTGTTTCTTTGTTACTTCATTTCTTGTGACGCTTTTTCTTTTTTTTTTGAGTTTTGTTTAATTAATAAAAGGAGAATAACCAAGGTGACATATTTGCATTTGTTGTATCACCTTTTGTAGATTGTGTACTTCTATTTCCTTTTATCTTATTTTCATTCTCTCTTTTTTTTCCCTCACAGTGGCATCCGTTGCTGTTAACCCTTCGTGAGGCAGTGGAGCAGGCGAGTGGATGCAGATTCAACTCCCTGCTGTGTAACTTGTATCGGGACGGCCATGACAGCATTGGTTGGCACAGTGACGATGAGGCTTCCTTGGGTGACAAACCCACCATCGCTTCCATCAGTCTGGGGGATACCAGAGTGTTCAGCCTTCGCAAGCAGCCTCCACCGGTGAGATGATGGTAGAACATGGGAACTGGTTTTTCCTGCTCCAAATCTATGTCCATTTGTACATTAGGACCAGGTTACTTTATTACTTTATAAGTTTATTACATCTCTGAACTGTGAAAGTCTTAGCTTTATTTTCTTATACTACTCTTACACTTTATGGTTACAGAACCTGTATTCATTTTAAAATTCTTGTTTCATTATCTTTTTCCTCATTTTGGCCTTAAATCCAGCTCAGTGTTCATTAAAGGAGTTTTGCTATTACTACATAGCGATTTAGCATAAGCGGCTGTTTACTTACCAGTCTAGAAGAAACATTGCAAGTTCAGCATCAAACTTCATTCCATTACTCACCAATAGCTTTTATTCAGTTTGGTTGTTGTATTTTACTCACAGTCAAGGATGCTTCTTTTGTTTCTAACACACGCTTCTTAATAAAACAGACCTGCAGTGCAAGTCTTAATAAAAAGAGGAGGGTGTGTGTAGTAGAGTGTGGAACAGCAGCCAAAGTGAATTAGGGAAAACTGGACACAGAGGGACGTGTGTTTAGACTCAGCAGAGTATTTAGAGGCCTTTGTTTAATAGTCATCTATTATTTCAAGTGTTAAAGTATACACTTCTTAGGAGGCAGGCTTCATTAGTCACAATGTGCATGAGTTGTATTGACATGTAGTAGTGATTTGCAGGTAACAGAATGTGCCTTCAACATGTCATGTCACAGTACATTGTGTCAGGTGTGTTTCTTGTGTGTTGTTAGATGATTATAAATTGTGCTTTACCCTCTGTGTGTTTATGTGTTAGGAGGAGAGCGGTGACTACACCTACGTGGAGCGGATTCGGGTTCCTCTGAGTCACGGGACACTTCTGCTGATGGAAGGAGCCACACAGGACGATTGGCAGGTAGGCTTCACCAATCAAATCCAAGAGTCAGTGCAGGAAAAATGGCCATTCATAAAAGCATCAGCCAATGGCCACAGGGACGGATTATAATCAGGTGACAACTAAAGAATGGTTTTGGTTGCTTTTTCTTTTTTATTTTGGAAACATCTTTGTCACTAAGTTTTTGATTGCTGTGGTCACACCACATTTGCCAGAATTGTACTGTGTGTCTTGTATCTTGTGTTTTATGTTACTGTTACAAACGTCTTTTTTCTGTTTATACCAAACAAATCTGTGTATAAATCACATACCATGCTGTGCATCACATGATTTATCTCTAAATGTGTATACTTTCTGTTACCTGCCTGATTTTTTTTATTACAGCATTTTGGTTAAAAGTATTTGTTTTAAGAATCCTTGTAGTAGAATAGTAATGTAGTATATTCTTTGGCTGGGAGACTTACTAGAGCTCTAAGATGTCCTTAACTATTATTAAAACAGCAACCTTGACACAAACAATTACCTCAGTTAACCTTGGATATTTACAGTAAATGCACTGAAAACCCCATCTGCCTCCGTACAAGGTGAGGTCAGGTGAAGACTGAACTCACCTGCTCTGCTCCTGTGTGTGTTTGTTTGTGTGTTCCTTTAAGTGTAAATGGACTGCACTTATGTAGTGTTTTTTCTAGTCTTATTGACCCCTCAAAGCAACACAATGGAAGTCACATTCATCCACTCACACACACATTCATACTCTGCTTTTTCCTACACATATAAGTAAGTAAGTGCAAGTGCCTCTAATTGAACACGTGAGGGGGTTGACCTGTGTTCAAGAGACTCAGGTTCCTCCTCTGACTGACAGGCAGTGAGGATGGATGGAGCAGAGCTTCAGCATAATAAGAATCATTTGTTTTACTTTCAGGGACAGCGACTGGGTTTATATGAGTGGATGAAACAGGATGGAGAGTCTTTGTGTGTGTGATAGAGAGTGTGAGTGCGCAGTTGGTATCTGTTAGAGAGAACTGGGACACACTCCACAGTGAGAATATGTTGTATTACAATAGATTGAATTTCATGATCACTAAATGTTTTCAGCCTTTGGAACACTAGATAAACACTTCACTTGTCTAAAACAGGTCATACTATTTAGACTATTTTTATCTTTGTACAGTAAAAAAAGAAAGAAGGACATAAGCTCTGTCAGCACTTAAAGTCAAATAACAACAAAAACCAAGTGTAAAAACAAGACAAAAAAAAATCTATGTCAGTAAATATGTAATGTAGACAACTGAAAGGAAAGTAAGTGAGAAAAGATGGAGTGAAGGCAGGATGCCTCAGACACTTAGTTGTAGATGGGTAAAATCAGTAATATAGCGGAACTTCATTTCATTCCTAACTAAACTCCTTGTCCAATTAACAAATGTCATTGGGAAGATTATTAAAATTGTCATTTGCACATCAGGTGTCACATGAATAAACATAAGCAGTAAGGATTGAAAATAAAAAAACTTTTATGAGCATTTGGAAGAAAGAGAGGAGGTATTGTTTTGTAAAAATTTGAATGAGTAATTTAGCAGTAAAATAAAATTTTTCTGCAACATTTTCCTGCATTTCTGCAAGTACTAAACTATACTGTAACTATAGTACCAAAGCCAACTAAATGGATAAACTGTATTCTATACCTTATATTTTATTTTATAATTTTAATAAGTCATTTGTCAGACAAAAGTTGGCAATACCGTATATTGATGTAAGTATAGCACACATTAATACAATGTTTTAAGACAAAACTGTTAAGTAAACACATTCTATGAATGATGCCAAAGGATCACCACTTTTCTACAGATTGAGTGTGATTGTTCTCGTTTAACTTTTCATTAGTTATCACAGTGACTTCAGCTGAGAAATCATCTAATCTTCAATCAGTGATGGATTTGTTGTACTTTTACACCTTCACTGGTAGTCCAGGTGCTCAGTCCAAACATTTTACAGTGATTTCTGCTTCCAAAAGACCTGCAACATTGTAGAATACTCCCTTTGAAAAGTGTGAGATGTTATTACATTTAGTAAAAGAAGTACAACAGTTTGAATCCAAATTGACTCTTCATATGTACCCAATGAAGAGCCCGTTTGGGCTGTGTTGAAGCAGACAGTGTTGTGAATCTTTGGGAAGTATCAATAGAAAATAACAATGGCCCACAAATAGAGCCTTGTGGAACTCCACTTATTGTTTGTTCTGCAGGCAATGAACGTCAATGAATAGAAACATAATCTCTGAACATAAACAAACATTCCACGTAAACATACATACAACTTAATTATGAACTCACTGAGTACTTTATCAGGAACACCATACTAATCAGGGATGTTAATGATTAACCATTAACCGACAATAAGAATTTTGACCAATTAATACTATCAGTTAAACAATTAAAAAATATACATATATGAGAGACAATCGACCCTCATGGATAGTAATCCTTTTGACCGGTGGAAAGCTAATCAGATGCACCTCCTGAGGCTGGCCACTCGAGTGAGGTGCTATCTCTGCATTCCTGGGACATCGGTACCATCTGAGCAGGTCTCACAGTAAAAAGACTGACACCAGACTAACCCCACCGCATGTCGACATGTTATTTCTGAACAAAAACCAGTGGACAAGCTGTCCACTGTGCTGAGGACTGAGGTAGACCTGGCCTGTATATTTTATTTGAGGTCTGAAAAATGCGACTACGAATTTTCGATTTGTTCAGCTGTTGGCTGTTTTTGATCATTAATTAGCGTCGTGGTCGTGGTCGTGTAGGCTATTACGCCGTTTTTGCGCTTGTTAAAAAAAACCTTCTTATGAAGAAAAAACAAATATTTATATTATTCCATTCTAAAAAGTACATTTTGGTCTTGTCGGTAATGGTTAATGATCAGTTCGGTCAGAAAAAAAAATTCAAAATGAGCATCCCTAATACTAATACTGGGTAAGAACTCCCTTTAATCTCAAAACAGCCGACCTTCTTTGTGGCGTAGATTCCACCAGATGTTGAAACTTTCCTCTGAGACTCTGACGCACATTTAAGCTGCCAATGTCCTGTTCTACCTCATCCCAAAGGTGTTCTACTGGATTCAGATCTGGAGACTGGGGACTGAACTCATTGTCATGTTCATGAAATCAGAGATGATTTTTGCTTTGTGACATGGAGCATCATCCTGCTGGAAGTAGCCATTAGAAGGTGATGGACTGTGGCCATACCGGCATGAACATGATCAGCAAAAATACTCAGACAGGCTGTGGCATTCAGACGAAGACTGATTAGAACTAAGGGGCCCGAAGTGTGCCAAGAAAACATTCCCCACACCATCACACCACTTTAGTTCTTGGCTGACTGGAGTGGAACCTGATGTGGTCTTTTGCTGTTGTAGCTCATCCTCCTTAAGTTTCCATGTGTTGCATTCTGAGATGTTTTTCTGTTCACCACAGATGTAAGGAGTGGTTATCTGAGTTACTCTAAACTCTGATAGTCTGATGCTTGATAGATAGAGCCATTCTCCTCTTTTGGTTGAGAGATAGAAGTAGCAATATTATATATTTATATATAATTATATTTAAATATTATGCTAACAATATCTTGTGTTTAAAACAATAGCTCATCACACTAAAAAGTAAGTGAAAATTGAAAGAAGTGAGGGAAAAACAAAAGGGGATAGGGGGAATAAAGAGAGGGAGAACTACAAAGACAATGAAAGAGGTTTAAGCTTACAAGAAAAAGAGGAGAAGGTCACAGGTGTTTTATGGCGACACCTCCCTGAGTATCTTTACAAAGGTTTCATTTCTCCTTTAAAGATGTTGCCAGAGAGAGAAGATCACACCACCATTAATTCTCTCTCTGTCACCGCAGTCAAAGTCTGCCTAACAAAACCCCCCTGGCTCAGGCAGAGGGGTTTGGAAGTGAGTGCTAAATATTTAACTAAACCTGTCAATCCTGCTAAAGTACTTCACTTGTTTGAAAAGGGATACAGGGTTATTTCTGCCTGTTCCGGCCTCTTTCTTTTCACACCATGGTGGATAAGCAAACCCTTCACCTCCTTTTGAGATGAAGGTGAAGGAGTAGTGTGTGTGTGTGTGTGTGTGTGTGTGTGTGTGTGTGTGTGTGTGTGTGTGTGTGTGTGTGTGTGTGTGTGTGTGTGTGTGTGTGTGTGTGTGTGTGTGTTAGGGCACAAGATGCGCAAATGGAAAAACAAGACTACCATTCTTATGCAGAAGGTCTAGACAGAAATGAGTTGAGCTCTTGAGGTAAAACAAACGAACTCTGTGATATTCCACAAAACATTTTAGCACTGCTTTTGCAATGGGGAATACATTTGACTTTTAGCTCATATGTCAAAGGTTAAGAAAGTGGTGTTTGTTGTATGTCACATTTTCAGGCTGAACTTTGTATAGAGTGCAGAGGTCAGCTGCAAAACAAAAATACTATTGTGTTTTGGAAACTGATTTTCTTTCCTTGTGGTCTCATTTTTTGTTTTCTAATCTGATTGCATGTGTATATCAGTTAAATAGCAAATGCACTGGGATTATTTTATATTATTCTATATTTTGCTGCATAGATTAGAATATGTATTATGTCTAAACTCTATATATTATATTTTTATCCTGAATTGAAAATTGGTAATTAGTAAATGTTTTCATTGCAGTGAATACAGTATCAGATTCTTAAGACTGATAAAGATCATCCTGTACCTGTGTCACACACAAGCTTTTCTTCTTGATAAGAAATGATGATTTAATAACTGAGCAAGTTTTATTGATTATATTTGCTGCACTTCCTCATCTTTATGGTCCGGAGAGCTAATGACTAGAGATGTCATTCTTCAGCTAGTTACAGATAGTTACTTCGTAAAATCTCAAAAAATTATAATTTCCCAGAGCCCAAATTAGAATTTAAATACTGCTTATGTTGACTGCCCAACAGTTCTGAATCCAAAGATATTCAATATACTGTTGTATGTATTATATAAAGAAAAGCAGCAAATCCTGACATTTGAGAAGACCAGTGAATGTAGATGCCAATTAGTTAATTAATAATTCTGTCATTTGAGTAGTCAAAAGCATTTAGTAGTCACATACTCTTGCAGCTACTGCAGAACTAGTTTTGAGCAAGTCAATGAGCCATTACCTGATTTTGTGGATAAAGAACTGCACAGAAATACAAAAAAATACTTTAAAAATTAATTTAATAGAATACAAATTTACTGTGTCTGCTTCTCTGTTTCCACCAGCATCAAGTGGCTAAAGAGTACCATGACCGAGGCCCTCGCATCAACTTGACCTTTAGGACAATCTACCCAGAGCCGGAGGGCCACAGGCCAGGGACCAAGCTTCGCTTCACTGCCAAGCAACAGTAAACTCCCCTCAGAGTCAGGTACTTAAGGTTTAGGAAACACTGTGTCAGCATTTCAAACACCGATCCAGTCAGTGCTGGATCTGATGGCTGGAGTGTGAATGAGGCTTAAGATAATAAACGATGGAGAGGTTTTGCCAAACGTCATCGCCGTTCTCAGTGAGCTGGCGAGCAATTTCAACTGTTTGAGGCAAATCTTGCAAACACATCGAGTTACAGAGCATAGTGTGAACAACAGCCTCCTCCAACTTAAACAGGGAGATTTGTAGCTCTGCCTGAATTCACCTGTTGCATAAGTGAACCATAATAACACCTGAGTCGTGACCAGTGGTGATAATCAGATATCAGTGTTTTCAGAGAAGCTGAGCAGAAGAATGGGTGATAATGAGGGTTTAAGGCTTGATCAAATGTCAGCTCTGAATATTTATTCATTCAGCACAGACAGTTGTTTCATTTCAGACAGAAATATGATAAAATTGATAAAACCATGACTGACTTGCCACACTGCTTTTGTTGCCAACAGTAAAAGTTTGGTTTTTACTGGGAAGCTCACAGTCACTTAGATTGAAGTTTTTGGTTTTGTTTTGGTTTGGGTTTTCTGTCACCACTTTTTGTGACTGTGAATTTAAAGAAACTTTGGTCTTGTGGTTTTAGATATGTATGCACATCAATATTCACATGTCATGAAAAGTGTCTTTAAGAAAGGCAGTGTCCCGAGAGCTCACTGTATAGCAAGTCACTCTTGATGTGACTGTTGGTGAAATGCCGTAAAATGTAAAGGATTTCCTGCCCCGTTTGTCCAGGGGAGCTTTTGTTAAGAGCTGAGCTGCTATAAAAAGAGAAGGAACAAGTTGAATAGCCACTCAGGCCAATTACAGCTCCATCAGCACTAGAATTAGTTAATTGTCTTGTTGGACAAGGTTTGACCAGTTCCTCAAAGAAGTAGTAGAAGTTTTTTAAAGCCTCTGATATATAATGAACCTGAATCATTAAAGTTCAGTTTGGAGATAAAGGATGCATACTTATCTGTTTTTGTCAACATGGTTGCATTTCCAACTGCAAGATAAAATATATAATTGAAGATGGGGAGACAGTACAGTACTGCAGAGGCAAGATTACTTGCATCCCCATTCTAATTTGCAAGTTGCTTTTTTTTTTGATTGAATGAGTTGTGAAACAGCTGTTGTTTTTGTTTTGTTTGAAATGACTGAAGGAACATTTAATTAGTATAAAGTGGTAAATGGTCAGTCAGAACTGTCCCTTTATACTTTGTATATTGTAGTTTTTGACACTAATCAGTCCCGTATGTTGACTGACATCAGACTGACTGAGCCACCTGCACCTGTTTCAAGGTGGCTCTACTTCTAAAATTTTCATTAGAAAATCATTAGCTTTTTAATGGCTTCTGGAAAATATCACCTTGTAGACACAGAATTTGTGATGTTGCTTGTTTTATCTTTCTCTTAAAATTATGGCAAACTTGGTCAAAAATGGAAAAGGAAACAGAAAAATCCCACAGACATAAGACAATAAAGGAAACAGGTAAAAAGGGAACAGTTGTTGATGACACTAATAGAAAAGTTATCAACCCAATGAGCCATAATGTGGAGTGAAGATATTGAGTTTCAAGTAGATTTAAGGAACTGAATCCACACATGCCTCAATCTGGGAAATGTTCTGTGTTGGTTTTGTTCAGACATGATGTAACAAATAGGACAACAATATCCGAACAACTGGCAGATTAGCAGAGAAACTTTATATGGAAAAACAGCTTTTGGTTCCAACATGACATTGACATTTAGAAAAAAGGAAGTATATGTCTCAAGGGGCGAGAGAGACTACATTAACAGCCCACATGATTGTGTTTATTTTGTTACACTAAAGAGATGCATGTGTTCTCGATCGCTGTTGGTCTGAAATAAAAAATGTGTTCTTATTCTGTTTAAATCTTGTGTCCTATGTTCCAAAAAACGCATATTAATACATACACATATTAATTATTAGCAGCACGACACTTCATCAAAAATGTATTTGGGAAAGTTCAATTAAAATACCAGGTTGTGACAGGACATTTGTCATGATAATATACTGAAATCTGAGGATACTGTTTGCAAAATACAGTAAAGGGTTCACTTCAGGAGCCCTGAGAGCCAAGAGATTATGCAATCAATGTTGTTATTATACCCAAAGGATGTGATAACTTTGTTTAATGGAAAACAGTTTTGATCATTTCATGTTGTGGTTTTCTTAAAGTCATGTGCTACACGGCAGCCAGAACATTTTAAGGATAGTTATGTGTTTCTGGCCTTTTGGCTCACTTCAAGACACTGGATTTAAATTGAAACAATGAGGTTAAAGTGCTGACTCTCAGCTTTAAGGTTGTTTGACGATTTTCATATCCATGATGGGTGAACAGAGTAGAACTTTGTTCTATTATCTACTGTCATTTTTGTGAAAAGTACCCAATTTTTGAATAGAGAAAACATCCCAAAATCAGCAATAATTGAAGGTGGTTGTAATATAGATGCAACACAGCATAACCAGGGAACATAGATAGATGGATAGATAGATAGAGAGAGAGATACTTTATTTATCCCACATGGGAAATTCATGTGTCCATTAGCTCATTGTTGATAATAATGATAATAATAACATAATAATAAATAAATAAATAAACAGTAATAATTAGATTAGTCCACTTCCTTTGGCTGAGGTGTTGTATAGCCTGATGGCTGTGGGAACAAAGGATCTCCTGAACCTCTCTGTTCTGCAGCAAAGTGAGATGAGATGTTTGCAGCTGTAGCTGCTTCTCTGTCCTGCCAGAATGTTGTGGAGAGGATGGTTGGTATTGTCTAAGATGGCCTCCATCTTACATTGCATGCATCTCTCCACAATAGTCCTGAGTGAGTTCAGACTCCTGCCAAGCACAGACCTAGCCTTTTTGACCAGCTTGTCCAGTCTCAGTGTCTGCTGATGTCTAAGGGCCACAGACTTTGCTCATTCACTGCAAATATTTTGCAATATGATGACTTAAGTTAGGCTTGAATTTAATTGTTTCATTAGTTTTGAAAGCTAAATTACCAAGCAGGCAACCTCCAAGGCTGAAGAATGAAGCCAACACAGAAGTGCCAAAAACTGCAGTTCCTCTAATGACCACTTGAAGCTGGCTCCAGCCTATGGTCTCTATAGCTAATATCTCCCCTCGTTTTCCCACGAACTGTGCACCCATGCACCCAAGTCTTGGCTCCACACAGGCCCCACCTCTTTTCCCATTTTTGAATTAGCTCAGAGTGAGGGAGTCGGGCACTGCCAAGATGGCGATGGCAGAGCAGCTCCCTCTGAGCTTCAAAACCACTCTTCAGAAACCTGTGGGTGACATCACGGTGGCCACGTCCATCTTTATTTGCAGTCTGTGTATTACATATAACTTTGTAAAGCAATGCCCACTCTTCCAAGTAATTTAATCGAGTTTTGATGAAAACACCAAAGAGTCAGCAGCTTAACCTCAGTCATCGCTTCATTTCAAAGCGTTTCAGTATAGAGCTATCACAACAATGAATGTGTCACTGTCCTAATACTTTCTGGTATTCATGCCATCTGCTGGGATTGTTAGCCAATAATTTCACAAACACTTCTAGGATTATTTAATATACTGATAAAGTGACAGTGTATGTAGATTTTATTTTATTGCAAGCCCTTTTTAACACTCGCATTCTCAAATTTAAACCTCGCCACACTTACTCTCTCTCTGTCTTCTCACTGTCTCTCAAAAGGCTCATGCATAATGTTAAAGGATCATTGATGGCGTTGGCGTGAGAAAGTATGTGCAGTGACAATTCTCAGCAGACACAGCTAAAATTACAGGCTCATTGTGTGATTTTGTTGTTTGCATTGAGCTTCACTTTTCAGGATAATTAACAAGGAGAGATGGGATCATATATATTGAATATATAGACACATCACCCACTCCTCTGGGTGATTTCTGGTGTTATATAATATGTTAGTATTTTTAGACATTCGGTCACTGGACATGTAATATCAACTTGCTGGTGTAAGTCCATTCATTCCAGTCACCTTCTATGTAGTTTATTAATAGTTGTTTGTGTGGTATGGATTGCTCCAATCTGAGCGTTCATCATGGCGAAATGATCCTTTGGTAAATACATAGATAGGCTTGACTCAAGTGTTCGTTACCAGCTGCTGGGAAACAGGAAGCTTGTTTAGATATTGAAGCCTCATGTAATTTCATAGCACTATTCCTCAGAGGATATGGCAAGAATAAATTGCCCTGCAGTTGCAATAAAAGCTTTGTACATGGGAGCTCTAACAGCCAAGAGTGGTGCAAGAAGCTTCATGAGACCCAAGACTGAAGATCATTGCATGATGATACAATAACCTTGACACCTGAGAAAGAATCACTCCCCTGATGAAGCCTCTTGGATGACCAGCAAAAAGATTGATTTTGCTGTACCATAACTGCCTTAAGGGGGCTATTTGTAAGTTTTGCTATTGCTACATAGCGAGCATTAGCATTAGCAGCTGCTTGCTTCCCAGTCTAGAAGAAACATTGTGGGTTCAGCATCAAACTTCATTCCTTTACTCACCAACAGCTGTCTCCAGAGGTGGAAAGCAACGCCAATGTTAACGCTTGTCTCTATCACGTCTTTTCTTCTACTGAAGTTAGCATGCTAACCAGTTAGCCCTGGCCCATCTTGTCACTTTCCAATAGCGACTCACTATAGCCTCCAATCTGCCCTGAAGACGTAGCGCTGCTCAGGGGGTATAGTATAACCTCTTGTCTTGTAAACACAACGATGGCCAAAGCGCTTGTCAAGTGACAGAAACCGCGTTTGGCAGCAGAGAAAACTTAAACAAATAGCCCCTTTTAATAAAATATGATATTTTAGAGTTGTCTCATCTTATGTTTGGGCTAGATCCTCAAAACCTGCCAACTTTAAAAACTTTAACCTTCAAAATCTTTGAAATGTAAATGCAGAATTTCCGTATACATACCATTCTGAAATGAGCTGAAATCAGCTGCCACCTGGGAGACTGAAAGTCAATCTAAGCGCTTGCTTTGCTTTTGAGAATGTTTTTTAGGTTGAGTAAGATTAATTAAGATGAAGATAAATTAAAATAAGGTATTCAAACCCAGTCACACAAATTTATAGTTATTAGTAACTCTTGTTGTGATGTTTATGCTGACTGTGTGATGGTTCTTGTTTTACTTGAATGTTTCAGAATGTCTTTTTTGCTGGTCGACATAGAGAGCAGTGACTTCAGTCTTTACCTTTACTGATGGCCAAGATGGTGGTTCAGAGCTGTATTTGTTTGATCTGCTAGTTTAGCCTCCAGTAGATGCATCAGAGGTGATGGAGAGAGACAGAATAGTGGATGTGAAAGAGGGGTAGGTGGATAGGATGTATATTTGTAATAATACAGTATTAAATACAGTAGCCGACAAGTAATAGTACTGCATTACTTGATTTTGACTGTAGAAAAAGGCAAATAATTACTGTTACAATGAAGACAAAAGACTGTGACCAGGATGAGTTGAGTAGTATTAAAGTGACAGCACTATACAATTATGATTTACTAATCAAAAAAAGCTGGATTTAGTTCTGAATTGAGCCACAGAGGTGTACTGTTCAAACTAAACTCACTGTAGCCAGTCTTTAACTCAATTGTCCATGTACCTTTCCATTAGTACCGCAGTCATTGTAACCATGACAACTTCTTTGATTGCCCTATGTGGCTCTTGCCTTATTTACCACTGGTGCGCTGATGTTTTGTTACTCTCCCATGAAAGCCACAATGTTTTCACAAACTCCCCATTGACAATAAGAATCAAAAACCCGACAACTGTTTTCTTTGCCCCTCGTACTGCTCCATCAGTGCTCAACCAACAGCTTTGGTAACACATGACAGAATAGTCGACCGCAGGATGTATTTCTGTGCATATACAATGGGGATTTAGGGACTCAGTCTGTGTAATAGTTTTCAGCAGACACATTTCTCTGTGCAAGACCCTCTGTGTATGTGTTTGAAGGGAGCGAGTTAATGGGAAGACCCACAGTGAGTGCAGCAGGTTGTGTAATAGGTCCTAGGCCTTTTGTTGGTGCAGTGTAGGTGAGAATTGCACCATGCTGTGCCCACCCTGTACTTGCTCCTTGATGTTGGGCCTCCAGAGGCACAGATTGGGACAATTTGTACTGGACAAGAACATCACATCACTGAACGTGAACGTGGGCTGAAGATTTGATTTAGTTTTGGCACAGCGCATTGTGTTCAAGTCAGTGACACCAGTGGGTTTGTATTTTCGAAATGCCCCGTGGCAAATCTTGCACCTGCTTACTGACTACAGCTTCTTCTGGTGGCTGTAATATGTAACTTTTCCACATTGAAATGTCTAAAAATGACCAGACCTATGTTATATATTTTTTTAGTTTTATACTTACATTATTCAAAATGTTTCCAGCAATTCTCAAACCTAGAGAAATACACCATTTTAATCATGGTAATGGTCTGTTTCATTATGTGCCTGTCAATGATATCATATCCCCTATGTGCATGCGTTGGTGTTATGTTTGTGTTGTGGTCGCAAAGTGAATCACAAAGTGAAACTGCTTTATTTGGTGTTTCTACTGGTTTTAATTCCCTGGTGCCTTAGTTATGGAAAAACCTCCTTAACCTCTGGTTCATAAGTTATCAAAAAACAAACAATACAAAGGTTAGCAGTAATCTCAGCTTCTCCCTAGTCCTGTGTCTGCCGTACAGCGTTGGCGACACACTGACTTTAAATGTGAAACTGCTTTATTCAGTGATTTTAACGGTTATAATCACCTGGTCTGTTTGTTTTGGAGAGGGGGAGACCTCTGTGGATATTTCAGATACATGTAAAAACCTCCTGAATGACTGACA